TAACTTTAAAATAGGTTATAACGACTGTATCCAAAAATCACGAATTAATTGTTTATTTCAAATGCTTATAGTTCGTAACATCTAGTATAAGGTCTTATTAGTATTAAACCACCATAAATATAATATATTCTTAATCTGTTTAAATCACAAAAGAGATCCAAAATTTGTGATAGGGCTTTGAAAATTTGCACATACATTGCCACTACTCCAAGCACGTTTGGCGTTGAAGATGAGATGATAAGTCCTCCTTTTGGTATAGCCCCCATATTTGGCCCGTTTTTCATGCCAATCAGCTGTTTTTCACCAATGATTTAATCTAACAAATATTGAATAAACATTTAAATTTCCGCTGAAATATCTTACCTAGAACAATTTTTATAGACGTTTTATTAGAAAATGTACAAACATTCCTACACTTTTGTTCGCCAATGTATATTTGCTTGTATCGAAATGTGATGTTTCTTACTTTAAAATTCAACGGCCAATAGGGCGTATTAACATTGACAACACGTATACTCCACAATTTCTTTCTGCTAAGTGTAATTATTTACACAGAGAATTTATTCATTTTTATACCTTCCACCAAAAGGTGGAGCGTACATTAAATTTATCATTCTATTTGCAGCACCTCGAAATATTCACCGGAGACCCCACAAAGTATATATATTTGATCAATATAAATCTATCAATAAATCTATGTCGGTTGATGCGTGTGTTGAAATCGAGATAGAGATCAATACTAACCACCGTTTTATTATAGCCCCATATAACGATAGCTTCACTTTTAGAGAATTTCAGTCATATTTCTACTTTTTGAAAAATTAACAAAAACTATATGTTAGAGATTTTTCTATGGAAAAACATGGCGAAAAAGGTCTTAAGAATCTTTTTTTCTAGAGAAAAAAATGGCTCAAAAACTCTGCAGAAGGAGAACTATATGAGGACCATATGATACCCTACACAACTACCACCGAATTTTGCGATATTTTCACCCTTTTAATCGATTAAAAGTCAACAGTTCCTCTTTCTTATCCTGGCATCTGTTTCATAGTACTTCAGTGTGTATACTTGTTGACAACATGTATACGCAACAATAAAATAATTTTAATTTATAGACAATAACCTTCAATATAAAAATTATAACCCGAAATATATTTTACACATATTTTTGTAAAGCCCATTAAACATTGAACACTTAGAACCTTCGTTTAAAAGAGTACTGAATTCCTCAGAACATATCAGTGTTGACTTTACTGATACAACTTTATTTAATTTGTTTAAATACCAAATATTTATACCCTTCACCACACTGTGGTACAGGATATTATGGCTTTGTGCGATAAAAGCAATCGAGATAGACGCAATGTTCCTTCTGAGAATATGCATAGAATCACTTTCTGAGTCGATTTATGCATGTCCGTCTGCCCGTCTGCCCGTCCGTTCATCCGTTCATGTATTTTTGTGTACAAATTACAGGACGGATTTTTTATTCGAATTGGATGACATTTAGCACAACTCATTTATTTGACCCTATTGAAATTGGGAAAAATCGGTTCTGATTTAGAGATAGCTTCCATATATATTTTCGTCCGATTTTATGCAAATGGTGCACCAAAGTCCTTATATATCCTTCGATTTGCACGAAATTTGGCTTAGCGTACTGAATTAAGTCTACAACGATATTTGTTAAATTTCGTGAAAATCGGTTCAGATTTAAATAACTCCCTTATATATTTTCGTCCGATTTTAGGTAAATAGTACACCAAGTTCCTTTAAATCCTTTGATTTGCACGAAATTTGGCATATCATACTGAATTGTGTCTAGAATGATGAGTGGTAAGTTTCGGTTCAGATTTCGATATAGCTCCCACATATACATATATATTCGTCCGATTTTACATAAATGTCGGATTAACACGAACGTTTACACACATACCAAATTGAGACATTAAATACGTTATTGCGTTTTGTTGAAATTGGTGCAGATGCAGTTATAGCTTCCATATGTATTTCGAACAGGTGTCTGATTGAGATTAAATGTAACACTACGGCGTACCGAATAGCGTGTATTAATTTTGCTATAAATCGTTTTTCATTAATTTATTCCACATTACGCACACTACTCTAAATCTGCCCGAATGAAATTAAATTTAGCATAGGTTGCAGAAAGACATGAGTATGTTCCTTCGCAGGAACATTGACATGAATTGTAGGATACATATGTAAAATATACCCAAAAGTGGTGAAGGGTATCATATAGTATGATTATTGTCTCTCTATTTCTGAAAAAAAATTATGGGTTGTAGATTTTGTTATTAAAAAACGGGATATATATGAATCAGTTTCTATGAACATTCTCATGGGGAATTTTTCAATTTCCACACCAGAAGAAGAATATTTGTAATTATTCATATACTCAAATAGTTTTCAAAATATGAATAATGACCTACAATAAATTGAATGGATATCCCTATAAACTAAATCAAACAATGGATTTTTATTGCAAAGACTATTGATGTGTATACGTATTAACAAAATGTATTCGCCACCTTTCCCTACATATTTTATTTTCTTCGAAACCACAATTTCTCACTTTTTATCACGGAGTGGGTTTTTTTAAATAAATAAAACAAATTTATAATAGAATTTCTGTATTCTTATTTTAAGAAAGAATTTGTTTTTAAAAGGACCAGAGTACCAGAGGGCGTATACCTGTTGCCAGCATGTATACGCAAAAATTCCTCTTATATTAGTTTTTAGTAACTTCATAATGGAGAAATTTAATTCGCCTACCAGGAGGCGAACATTTGGAATTTCATATACCAAATTAGGTCTCAATATATAAATGATGGTCTTACATTATCTTCCTATGAAGAATTGGTAACATATATTACTCACAATTTCTTCAAGTCCACAAATTTATAAAAAGAAAAATAAAAAATTGTAAGGAGAATGATTTTTTTAATAATTAAAATAAATTTATGAAAGAAATATTTGTTTTCTTGTTTCTTAAAATCATTTAAATTTAGCTGAGACTATTTGGCTTTGTTATAAAAAAAAAGATCAGAGTACCAGGGTATGTATACATGTTGCCAGTATGTATACGCAAAAATGATCCCTTGTATCAGTTTCAATAAACTTTCAAATGAGGAATTTTCTAATTGGTGCCCAAATAGTTTTCAAATATGAATGATTATCTGTTAGGACTTCAACAGATATTATTATAAATTAGACCAAAAATTGACCACGATATGTTTATTATTATTTTAAAATACAAGAGACCTTTGGTGTGTATAAGTATTGACAACATGTATACGCCACCATTCACCCTTTATTCTGTTTATTTTAAAATGATGGAATGTTAATAGGATATTTGCAATTGTTCACCATGAAAAGTATCAAATATATATAAAATATACACTTATGAATCCTAGAAGTAGCTCATGGTGGACAGATTTCAATATCTGACCGAAGCTGTTTCATTGCAATATTGTTCAACTTATTTTGGTCCCTAATATGAGTTTTTGTCAGCAGCCAAATACCACTTCTGAGAGATCCTGCATATTTGTAGAATATTTTTACAACACCTTTATTGAAAAAAATATAATTATAAATTTATTAAAAAACAATGGACTTTTTATTAAATATTTCATAAAAAACCCTATTGTTTATACCACTATTCACACGGATATTTATTTAATTTATTTTATAAAAAAAAAAACATTTAATTTATTTCAATACATAAAAAAAAATAATTCAATTATAATCAAACAATAACAACATATTAACATTTATATTGCAGGCATATATCAACGTATAGTGACACCAACAGCAACAACAACAACAAATACAACGTCATCACTCTGCTATTGCTGCCACTGATTATAGCTGACTGGATAATTACAACAAACAAATAAACCGAGTCAAGTCAGGCAAACATTTTTCTTGTTGTTGATTTTTCTTCTTCTCCTTCATTTTCCTGCTCTCTGTTCCCAGTCACATGACCTGCTTAGGCTCGTAAAGACCATTGCGGGACATGTCGGCGGCGGCTGCTCCTTGCATTCTACTCAAGTCAACTGTTGGCCTGTCAATTTAAATTTGAATTTTAAATAATGAACTAACATTTTCAATGACGTCGTCATCGTTGCCGTCGTCGTCGTTGCCATATGCCGGCTGGCTTAATGCAAGTTGAAAGAAGAGGAAAAGCCAAAAGGAAAATCGGAAAATAGTTGTGAAGCAAAAAACCCCACTTTTGCCACCCTCAATATAGAGGGAACGAGTCGGAACCCAGTAAAAAAATAAAGAGTAGGAAAAAAGCCTCTATTTTTTCTGGGTCATCATTTGGATTGGATTACGTGAAAGGAAAAAATGAAAGAAAAGAGCAGTTAGCTGGCAGGGCCATTTACACTTTACTACAAAACGAGGAGGAGAAGAGGAAAACCTAAACAATTGAAAGGCCAATAAATTTCGAAAACAAATCAAGTAGACATACACATATGAGTTTGACAAACAAAAGACAACAGAAGCAACAACAACAACACCTACAACAACAACGAATTTTTTGTTTCCTTGCTGGCCAAAAACTTTTTGCCCAAAAAGCCTCACATTCCAACCGCCCTCACAAAGGCAAACCGATTGGCCAAAAAACTTTATGGAGATTCATTCGTACAACAACAACATCACCAAGAGTAAAACAAATCTTGACAACTGGCCAAAATAAATTTCTGAAATTGAACTAAATGTCTGCTGCCGTACGCTGGGCCCAAAAATAAATTCTCATCTCCACGAAAACACCCACAGCCAGTACGGGTCGGATCTATTTCTATCTATGGATAGCCGGCAACAACAAGGAAACGGAAATAGCACAAGCCAAACAACGGATATATCAACGCCACACACACACAAACAGACAACAACAACAACATTTTTGTAATATTCAAACACACACATACGTACATACACAGACACCCGAACACATAGCCCCAGCTAGTCAATGAGCAATGGCCAAAATTTTAAATTCAAAACTTGACTCTCATAAACTAAAAGCTGTTGCAGGCAAGGAACCACGTCATCAACGTCATTCGCATGAAGAAGAGAGGGAAGAGGAGGAGAAAGAGGAAGGGAGAGAAAACAACTATATAAGCAAAAGAGGGCCAACAAGTTTTCCGAAAACTTTTTATTGGCGAAAACGGCAGCATGAGTCACAGCAAAGGGCCTACACTGAAACAGATGGCGCCCAACATTATGCCACTTCACACATTAACACAAAATGCAGCAGCAACAACAACAAGAACAATATATCACAGCTAACAACAACAACATCCATGGTCCATATAATGCAAACACAACACCTGCAACCAGCTGACAACTATAGATCCCTAATAATGGAATCGACTACAAAGACTTATAATCCATCAATAACCCTGGCAGGCTCACCAACCAGCATCTCCTCTCCAACCTCCTCTTTATCACTGTCACTCTGGCCCTCTTCATCAACACTCTACTCGAATTATAGCTGTTGTGTCTTAACCTATAATCTCTTTGCAGCCTATGCCGAGGCTGCCACACTACAGCTGAAACGTAAAACCTCACTGACAAAACTTTTCTATGCCGCCAGTGGTTGCTGGGGGCCAACAGCGGCTGGGCTGCGGCGTCACAATGATATGAGCAGTATTTGTTATCTAATACTGATGGCCTTTGTCTATTGGGGTGTTATGATACGGGCAGCGGTGGCCACAAATTTGGCTAACAATAACACACACTACGTGGCAGCAGCAAATGTCGTGGATGCCGCCTCAACTCTAAATGCCACAATGGAAAATTTCCCCAATAAAGATTTTCCTCTAAATTCACAAATCTTTGACCAATTTCCGACACACACAAATGCCAGCAGAGCAGTAGCAACAGATCTGAATAGTAGTAATACGTCTTCAAATTCTCAAGCTTTTCTATCTTTATCTACTTCTTCTTCGTCGTCGTCGTCTCCGTCGTCGTCGTCACCTATCTCTTTGGATATTTTAAGCAATTATCAGCGACGCCTATTAACACGTCGTGAAGCCGCCAATGTGCCTGATTTTGATGATGATGATTCCAGTTATCATGATGATGAATTTGATGAATATGAAACGTTAATTCGTAATAAATCTGGTAAGTGGCAAATAACCTAGCCCCTAAGTTCCTTAAGGCGTATGAGTGTTGACAACATGTATTCGCAACCACTCTTTCAAATTTTCGAGACCCATGTTAAAAAAGAAAATCATTTTTATAAACTATTGGTAGCGTTTTCTAGACATTTTATTTCCGAAATAGACTACTTCGTGGAGTGTATTATTTTAGACATCTTAGTCTTTTTATTAGTATTTCATTTTAGAAATGATCTACTTCCCGATTAGGTCAAGGCGTATTAGTTTTGACAACGTGTGTACGAACTCCTAACATATAACTGAAACTTGCACCTTATTTAACAAATATTCAGTAAACAAGTCGTATAAGTGTTGACAACATGTATACGTACATATGTTGCTCACATGCAACAAAATGTTTTAGAGGCTATATTTAATACACAGCCAGTAAATATTTATTATATGGATTTCATATGTTAAGACCTGGATGATAGTCAAGTTATACGCTCTTCAATATAAATTTGAGGACAAAAATTTGTACAGTCCAAATTTTTAGAAACCCTTCGTATTCGAGTTGTACTATCTCCAGACATTGGAAGAATTTCACACTATTTCTAGATTAGTACTTTTTAGAAAAAAAATTAAATCTTACTTGGTAGAAATGAACAATGAAAATATAGGGAACATACCAAAAAGTTGACCTATACCGATAATTCTACAAACCGATTATGTAAACCATAATGCAAATTTCAGAAATTCAAGTTCGAAAATGGGGAATATCGGTCCACTTCTTCTGGTACCTCCCACACAGGGGATAGGGCTAGGCCTAAATGTGGGCTATAGTTCATTATCGAATCATACGTGCTAGTTTTTTATCTCAATATCCTCCGCAGGTTAAATGATTACAACAGAGTCTCAGAACCAAACCCAAAACGCGGAACAATACAGATAACTTTTTTAATATAAAAAGGGGTTTATATGGAGACTACCCCAAAAAATGGGGCGAATATTGATAATTTTTGGTAGGGATATTTGTTACCATATACGACTACAAAATACCAAATTGCAGCGAGTTTGGTTTGAAAACGCTCTCAAGAACCCAAAATACCAAAAATTGGGTGTCCTTATATGGGAACTATGCCTAAACGTGGACCGACATATTCGAACTTGGCCTGCCTGCAAACCTATGCAAATTTTCAGCACTCTATCTCAATTTCTTCAGAAGATAGCGTTATTACAACAGACGGACGGACAGACGGGCGGACATGGCTAGATCGTCTTAGAATATACTTTACAAGGTCAGAAATGAATATTTCGATGAGGTAAAAAGTGTTATGGGTGAATTTCAAAAAATGTGACTGCGTTTGATTCATTTAACATTTAATGTTTTATTTTGCCTCCGAAAGTCGTGTAAGTGACCGAGGAAGTGTCCATGTGTAGAATAAACCCATAGTGGTGAAGCATATCATATAGTCGGCCGAATCCGACTTTACTACTTTCCTTACTGTTTATTGTCTACTAGCATATTCCCGCTACTTTGTCTTTGGTGCACCAATTACCTTAAATCGGATCAAAATATATATGGGAGCTATATCTAAATCTGGACCGATTTCCAGGAAACTTAACACACATCATTCTAGACATAATTCATTACGCTATGCCAAATTTCGTGCAAATCGAAAGATATATAGGGACATTGGTACACCATTTACATTAAATCGGACGAAAATATATATGGGAGCTATATCTAAATCTGGATCGATTTTTCCCAATTTCAATAGGATTCGTCCTTAGGCCAAATAAGTGACCTATGCCAAATTTCATCCAAATTGGATCATAAATTCGACCTGTACTTGATTACAAAAATACATGGACAGACGGACGGACATGCATAAATCGACTTAAAACGTGATTCTATGCATTTTCTAAAAAGGAACCATGTGCCTATCTCGTTTCCTTTTGTCTGTTACAAACATATGCACAAAGACATAATACCCTGTACCACAGTGTGGTGAAGTGTATAATTATACCCTACACAACTATGTTGTCAGGGTATTATAGCTTTGTGCAGCCCCAAGAGTTTGTAACGCCGCGAAATATTGGTCCTAGACCCATCTTTAAGTATACCGATCGTCATATCTCGACTAGCTGAGTCGATCTAGACATGTGTGTCCGTCCGTCCGTCTGTCCATTATAATTTGTAAACACGATACAGGCCACAGTTATGGACCAATCTTCGCGAAATTTTGCATATAGGATGAGTTCTGGCCAATGAAGACCCCTATTGTTTTTGGTAAAGATCGGTTAATATTTAGGGGATGAAATGGACCAAATACAAAATTTTTGTCGGTTTTTCTGGTCGCTCCAGAGGCCGCAATAATGGCCCGAACATCGTGAAATTTTGCATGGAGAAGGGGATCGGGCCAAAGAATAATCATGCCTCTTTTGATAAAGATTGATCAATATTTAGCGGGTCAAATGGACCCTGACTTTTGTGTGAAAAATGACAAAATTTGTATTCTATAGCGTATTTATTTACCCCTGAGTGACATAGACCCGAGAAGTTGATATTATATCCAAGAGGAGTGGTTGACCTTTAAATTAATACCCATTATATTGTTGTATGTATCCGGATGTGGGAGTTACACCTAAATATTTACAGATATCTCCGTATCCGTATATTATTTAGTAACTCATTATCACTCTAGAGCGCGGAACTATAGCGCTGATCGCTTTGAAATGTTCCATAAGGTTCCAGTTATGGTCAAGGACAACGCCTATAATTTTCGGTGATAATCAGATAATAATTTTGGGATGAAGTGGACCGAAAACTTAATTTTTGTGTTATTTTCGAGTCGATATATAGACCACAAATGAAAGCCGAACATCACAACGCAACCCACGGTGAAGGGAATCTGGACAATAGCTGTACTGAATACTCGTAATATTCAGAAAATATGTCCGTGTGAGGAAGAGGTGATGTTTACCTCTAAAATATTGCCCAGTCTCGGAATAAAAATCCGCAGAAAATTTGAGTTCCGTGGTAGTTGTGTAGGGTATCGTATGGTCGGCCCCGTCCGACTATACTGATCCGCTCACTGGTTAATAATAAATTTTAATCAAATATAGGTTCATCCAAACCCGAATTTAGTACACATTAATAATAATTTCCATAACTACGTACCTTAACAATCATATGTACGAATTTCCAAAACTGTTTACATATCCCAATTCTACACCCCAACAGGAATCCTAACTCCAGAACATAGGATTCTAGCTCTATTGGTTCTACCAAAATTCAAATTGTACCAAATTTAGTAACATTTAGTACTCATAAGTACTAATTCAAAAAACTATCTAAATATTTCATATACTCCAATAGTAATCCTAATTACAAATTATTACTATTCAAGCTCTAAATCCAAATTGTATCGAATTTAGTACCATTTAGTACCCATAAGTAAAAAATGTCCAAAATTACATCCATACCCCCATACCCACACTTCAAAAAACAATCTTATTTCCAAATTACAGTGTTCCAACTTTATCTCTTCAACTAAATCCAAATTGTACCAAATTTAGTACCATTTCCTACACATTTGTAGAAATTTCCAAAACTTCTTACATACCCAAATCCTACACCTCAACAGTGATCATAAGTCCAAATTTCAGGATTTCAGCTCTATTGGTTTACTCAAAATTCAAATTGTACCAAATTTAGTACACATAAGTACGAATTTCCTAAACTACCAACATATCTTAATTCTACAATGCAGTTGTTATCTTTTTTACAAATTTCAGTGTTCCAGTTCTACCGATTAAACTAAGTACAAATTAAGTACCATTTAATGCAGATTAGTAGAAATTTCTACATCTTCCTATGTACCATTTTAAATTTCAAGAAACCAGCTCCATCCGTTCCTCCAAATTCAAATTGTACCAAATTTAGTACCTTCCAGTACAATTCGTATACAAGACTACACTTCCAAAGTCAACTCCTTATATCGACCGTATTTCTCAACCCTGATTCACATTCCAGATTTTGAGTTTTTAGCTCTATCCGTTCACGTGCTACGAAATTGTAACAAATTTAGTACATTTTAGTACTTTTCGGATACTTATTGTTTGAATTTTCAAAAATTCTTGGGTACATCTACACTACACTCCATCAATGACCCTCAATTCAAATTTCAGAGTTCTAGCTCCACTGGTTCGCCAAATACAAATATTACCATATTTAGTACTTTTCGTGCCGTTCTAGTACGAATTTCCAAAAACCCAGCATTATCTGAGACCTTCGGACTAAGAGTGATCCCCACCCCAAATTTCAAGATTCTACATTCAGCCGTTTCGTCTAGACGTCGATAAATCGTTAAGTCAGTCAGTCAATCACTTTACTCTTGTATTAATATAGAAGATACACCAATCGAGACGAGCATTTTTGTGCTGGCTCCGACGAGAATATGCAATATCGAATGTGCTATGCTAGTGGAATAAATGCCCACGGATGCCTCTACCTCACATTATATTGTCCTCATATCTTATGGATGCCCTTTAGAAGACGTTCGATGTTTCGAAATCTTTTTCCAAAATTTTCTGTGACATAAATGGCAAGCGAACAAAATTTCTCCGTTCAAAACTTTGTTCATTATCTAACGGTAAAATGATATATCCTGATTATTCGATCTTTCGCAGATTGCAAAATCACGAATCACGTCATGTAGTAAATTTTGAACTTTGATAACAACAAAAATTTGCTTCCAAAAAACCCCATTCTTCAGCAAATAAAATATCTATTAGGTATTGTTGTTATTGTTGTAATAATACTTGACCTTTTATGCCAAAGACAAAAGAAAGCCACGAACGACCCAACCAACAAACCAACATATATGCATGTCTATGTGTGTTGGTCTATCCTAAGTGCCATCGAAATGACTTTATGCATGTGTGGAGGGAAAATTGTTCAATGGTCCTCCTCGTTCTTTTGTTCTTGTTGTTGCTGTTGTTATTCTTTGAACTTTTATTGTTTGCATAACGTTTATCACAGTTTTATGAATTGTGTGTGTGTGTGGTGGTAGTGATCGTGTGTGTGTATGTTTGTGCGATTGTGTGTTTGCGTGAGTCTATATAACCAAAAAATGGCAGCATGGCAATATTTTCTGTTAGCCTTCTCCCCCGAAAAAATATCGATAAAGAATGTATGACTATACGGTGCTGCCGTTGTTGTTCTTGGTATTTTTGCCAAATATTTAAACTTTTATGTGTGAGTGAGTCCGTGTGTGTGTGTGTGCGGTCATAAATTATCTGCATAGATGCACAGGGCCAGTAAATGCCAAAGTTATGTGGTAGCGGTTAAGGTAGGGGGAGTAGTGTATAAACTATTATATAATTGTACTAACTTTTTTACTACGTCCCTGGTTTCAATTATATAGCCTGGGCTATATAAAACTCAAAGTTAACTAAAATATGCACTCACATATATATACTCGTATATACGTGTAGGTGTAGTTGTACCTGTATTGGTGCTCCAACCAAATTACATTTAGTTTTTATGCTAACCAGGCATGTGGATAATTTCCTTTGGCAACATTGTGGTCAGGTTATTTGGTTTGGTTCGACATGTAAATATGGCCAATCTATGCCATGGTTTAAAAAGTCAATATTTGAGATTTTTTGTTGGGTTTGGATTTGTGTTGAGGAATGGGAAAAATAGTTTTCAAATTAATTGCCTATTGATTTAAAAATATGTTATGACTGGAAAAGATTTAAAACCGGTGGAGGGAAGAAGTACCGTACAAATCAATTAGGGGATATATCCAAAACTATTCTGTCCAGTACGACATAAAAAACTGCAAACATGGATTCTTTACCTGGACAAAATTATTAGGTCTCACCACCTACATAACACACAATCAGAGGATACTGAATACCGTTTTGAAAGATAAACTTTATATTCATTCGGGAACTACAAACAATTAAAAAAGTCGTTGAGTTTGGCCGTTCCGCACTTCTAATTGTGTGCAAATAATTTGATTACGCTCGGAAACAATTACAGACCCTCAGTATGGAAAACTGGCTAGGAATTACAACATACTCATATAGAAAATTTTCTCCAAGAGGTCGCAATGCTAAATTACTGCCACATCAGTGCAAAATTTGACTAAAACCTTCATGGGATCTGAAATGAGGATGCAATTTTATTGGGGGCTATGTCAAACGAAGAACTTATATCAACCCATATATATTATACCCTACACAACTATGTTGTCAGGGTATAGGCTATATATTAGTTCGGTGGAAAATCCATTATTTTTTTCGGCTGTACTGATAGATTTCTCGTAAAGTATCGATCAAACAATTTCAGATTTATGCTCGTTGGAAAGGTAACATTTTGCAGAAAAAAATATTTCGATGAATTACAAACGGAATGACAAATGTAATAAACCCTCTATACTATGGTTGAGGGTCCTCCAACGTATAAACAAAGTATAAAATAACTTCTCTACATTTTTTGGTGACTTTTTGACTCAGCAGACCTCAGTTGACCCATAGTTTTTTACAAATATTCTGTCCTTCTTTCTAGTCCCCTGGCATTCTTTTTTGACGCCATAGAAATCTGTATGGCCTCTGGCTCTGACTATATAAGACGAATGTTCTCTGACTACTGAAGATCTTCCTGTAGTCTTGTGATTTCAGATGACATCCTAGTGGGCCATAGGCTATAGAAGAGGTATTCTAGTTGTAAAAGACCTCTTTGTTATAAAAGGCCTTCTAGGGGTTGTTTTGATAAAGAAGGACTCCCAGAAGCTTTTATAAACATAACCGAGGCTGGTAGAAAGTCTCTAAGACCTTCCAAAAGTGTTTTCGTTATAGTATGGAAGCTACAGAAGATCTCTCAGATTTATTTTGCTTACAGAAGTCCTACTAGATGTCTTGGGGCTTTAGATGACCTCCAGGGTTCATTTTGTTATATAAGGCCTTCTTGAGCTAGAATAGCTAGAGAACTTTTTGTTATAGGGTTTCTCGTTATAAAACACCTCTCAGATACAGAAGATATCTGCAGAGAACATTTTGTTATATAAGGCTTTCTAGATCCGGAATAGCTGGAGGACTTTTTGTTATAGAAGGACACCTAGGTGTCTTTTATAAAACAATTCCCCTGATCGAGGCTACAGAAGAACTCTTACTTTTCATTGTGGCTACAGAAGTCTTGTGGATTCAGATGACCACATTGTGGTCTACGGCCTTCTAGGTGTTATGAAGTTATAGAACACTTTTAGAAGTTTTCTTTATAGATGAATTCCTAGAGGTCTTTTATAAAAATAACCGCGGCTGATAGATGACTTCTTAGACCTTCTTGTGGGTTTCTCGTTATAAGAACCTCTCAAAGATATCGAGGTTATAGAAAACCTCTCAAATTTACTCTGTCTGCTAGAATTCTCTGCCAGTACAAAACCTGCGAGAGTACTTCTAGTTATAGAAGAGGCTTTCAGACCGAAGAAGACCTTCCAGAGACCTCCCCATAGACCTTGAAGAGATTTTCTCAAGGCAACATAAGACCTCTCAGATTTTCTCTGGCTGTATACAACCTCCTTGAAGTCTTGTGGTTTTAGAAGTTTCGGGCCATAGATGACCTACTAGAATTTTTCTGCTTATAGAAAATTTGTCTGGAGGTCTGTTGGCTAAAGAAGATATTTCAGGTATAGAAAAGGCATCTCGAGATATTTTTACTAGCGGTCATAGAAAACTTTTCAAAGATTTTCTCTGGCTAAAGGAGATCTGCTAGAGGTCTGTTGGTTCTAGAAGAGGTTTAGTGAGTAAAGAAGACCCCATTTATATTTATTTTTGCTGCTGATAAAAGGTTTCTTATACCTTCTAAGGATTTTATCGTGATAAGAGACCTCTCACATATATTTTTGATATATCAGGTATCCTCCAATGACTTAGTAGATCTCCAAGAAGGCTTCCAAATATCTTCTAGAGGTTTTCTTATTAAAGCCTAGGTCTATGGGGCCTGTTTTTTATATAGAATATCATTTTGTGTTCATCAGGTTAGAGAAGGGCTTTCAAAATCTTTCCAAGGAAAAGAAACCCAGCTAGAGTTTTGTTGCGTATAGAAGATGTTCATAGAGGTATTTTTTATTATAGAAGGCGTCGGCGAGGACTGAGAAGAATAAAATGCATTTCAGAGTTATTTTATCCTCCAAGGCCATTGTATTTCCACAAGAAGGCTTACTAAGACATTATAGATTTCTTCTAGCTATTAGAGAATAGCTAAAAGTCTTTGGGCCCTATTCATTATACAGAAGATCATTTGTTATGGTAATAAAAGACGTATGTTGGCTATCGTAGAAGTTTTCTGGCTGAAGAAGGTCTCCAATAAGTTTTTGTCATTTTATGGCCTTATGGACTTCTAGAGGTATTCTCGTCATAAAAAGCCTATCAGTGATATCTGTGCTATGTCAAATCTCTTGAATATGTTTTTTATTTACAAGATCATTTAGGGTAATTCAGGAAGTTTTAAAAATCTTCTAGATGTAGAACGATTTATTGATGTCATGATGCCTAGATAGCCAAAGGTTTTTTGGTTACACAAGGCCTTCGAGAGTAATTTTGGCAATATGGAAGTCATTTAAGAAGTATTGTTGTCTCCTACTTATAAGACCATCGTAGGGCTCTTCAAGATTATAGATGATTTCCAAATGGTTTTCTGGCTTACGAAGTCCTCTGACTTTAAAAGACCAATTGCAGGTTTTTGGCGATCTGCTTTAGATAAAGGACCACAGTGAGTCCTTCAGTTCATAGAATACTTATCTAAAATCTTCTGGGAGTGAGACGGCCTCCCAGATCTCACCTTACCCTTTTAACTTACCTTATCGATTTTCATTAAAACTTTTATTCACATTTATTTTTCTTCCCATTACAGCCAAAGGTAAATATATCGGTGCCCCATGCAATAATATGACATGTGAGCCCACTTTGTTGCATGTCACCTGTGATAAGGAGACACAAATATGCGGCTGTGAAAAAGGTTATCCCGTAACAATTGGTTTGACCAGGGGATGTGATAAACGTAAGTACATAGAACTTCGTGAAGCTAATAAAAATTGCTAACATTGTTTTATATTCTCCACTACCTCATCGGTTCCCCCCTCATCCACAGCCAAAAAACTGGGCGAAATGTGTTTCTATGACGAGACATGCCAGTTCAATGATGAAAACTCCCTTTGTGTTCAGGTGCGTCACAATGCCATGTGCCAGTGTGTGAATGGCTATCATTCGGTGAGCTTAAATAAACCATCACGTCGTGTCTTCTGTACTCCAGGTAAGTCGAAGAAGAAAAATAAACTAACCATTAATATTCATTTTTTAAAGAACAAATAGGGAAGGGAAAAGTTATTTATTTTCTGTTGCAACAAAGTTATGTCTAGGACGTTTTGTTTTATAAAACAAGGGGGAGGTTGGGAGTTTGTGGTGATAAATAAACTTTGTCCTTATCCAGTAGAGAAAACTGAAAACGAAGTTTGAAAACAACGACACAAATCCCATTTAATTTATGTTGGAAGTAGTCCACGAAGGAGCAATGAGGATACTATAATAAATAATAGTTCGTGGTATTTTTAAACATTGAAGAAGATGCGGGAAGCTTTCAGGATATTACTCCATGAAATTTAAGCATCAGGGTGGTATTCTAAATTTATACTAGGAGGAGATAGGAGCCTCGAAGGCGTTGAAAGCCGTGGGCGCTTTAAGAATATATTTTTAAACGAGTAAATAAGTCGTAAGGTATTCAAACTGAATATATATAGAAGTTTTGTCAGAAAATGGACCCTTTTTGGAAACGAAAATTAAATGATGCTAAAATGATTTTTTTTCAATAGCCCTAATGCGTGGTGTTAAAAAAAAGTTCATTGCCTTTAAAAGGGTCTTAAGCGGGAATTTTTCAAATATTTTTTTTTTTCATTGCACTAAAGGTCTTAAGGCGTGGATTTTTTAAATAATATTCCTTTGTCCTTTTAACAGTTTTTGTCTTTGTCCATAAAGGGCCTATTGCTTGGATTTTTAAAATTGTTTATCCATAGGCTTAAAAGGCTCAAAAGCAAGGGCTTTCAAAAGATTTTTTCCAAAGCCCTCAAAGGGCTATGACCCTTTTTCAATGATCATTAAAGGCCGCAAGGTGTGGATTTTTTGAAGAATTTTTCAACAATCATTAAAGGTCGTTAGTTCTCGATTTTTTGTAAAAAAAATTTCAACGGTTAATAAATGCCGTAAGGCATGGATTTTCAAAGGCCGTAAGGCGTGGTTTTCTTAAATAACTTTTTATTGGACGTTAAAGGCCGTAAGGCGTGGATTTTTTTAAATTAGTTTTTATTGGACGTTAAAGGCCGTAAGGCGTGGCTTTTTTAAATTAATTTTTATTGGACGTCAGCTCACCATTTTCATTTACTATTTCGTCAATTTTGTACGTTGTGCAAAATTTCATGTCAATCTGGCAAACATGGGGAGTTTGATGCACCACTTACTTAAAATTATGCGAAAATATATATGGAAGCTATATCCAACAATGAAGCGATTTCAACGAAACTTGTCACAGGTTAGGTTATACTAATTTCCTTGGTGCGTTTTGTTCCTTGGTACGTCAATTACTTAAAATCAATCGATAATATATAAGGGAGCTATATCTAAATCTCAAATGATTTTCACGAAACTTGTCACACAACATTCTGGACTAAATTCGGTACGCTATGCCAAATTTCGTCCAAATCGAAAGATATATAGGGACTCCATTTACATGAAATCGGAGGAAAACTAAATATGGGAGCTATATCTAAATCTGGACCGATTTTCTTGAAACTTGGCAGACATCACTCTAGGCTCAATTCATTACGTTATGCCAAATTTGGTGCAAATCGAATGATATATAGGGACTTTGGTGCACCATTTACAAAAAATCGGACGGAACTATATATGGGAGATATATCTAAATCTGGACCGATTTTCTCGAAACTTGGCACACATCATTCTAGGCTCAATTCAGTACATTATACCATATTTCGTGCAAATCGAAAGATATATAGGGACTTTGGTACACCATTTACAATAAATCGGACGAAAATATATATGGGAGCTATGTCTAAATCTGAATTAATTTCAATAGGGTTCGTCCTTGGGCCAAACAAATGAGCTGTGCCAAATTTCATCTGAATCGGATTATAAATGCGACCTGTACTTTGTTTACAATTTAACACCAATAGACGGACAGGCGGACGGACATGCATAAATCGACTCAGAAAGTGATTCTATGCATGTTCTCAAAAGGAACTATGGGTCTATCTCGTTCCTTTTGCCTGTTACAAACATATGCACATAATACCCTGTACCACTGTATGGTGAAGGGTATAAAAATACCTTCCTCATTGCTTGTGTCATTTTGAATTTCTTCTGCAAAAGCTCTACCTACCAATCTCGAAATCTATTAAATCATTTTATGCGGATATTGCGCCCACCTCAACCGCATTCTCCAGCTCTTTCTCAGTGTTCGAAAATAGTTACGAACACACTGTCTCGAACATCCATTCTCACTTCTCAACGTACCATACACTTCGATTGAGCTCTCCATAACTATGAAAATATTTTCCCGATTTTTACGCCAAAGCCTTTCCTGTTACAATCCAACTGTTGAACATTGTAATTGTAATAGAATGGTCTAGGAATGTATAACTGTGCGAAAGGCACAGAAATTTGAATTTATTCAACTTAATATAGTCGAAGATTTGCATCAGAAATTTTAAATTTCCGTTCCAGCAGGATTTTCTGTATCGGTCCATCTTTTGATTGTAATGTGGTATTTTGAGTTATCATAGGGTAGGACATTTCCTACCAAAAGCTATAAATATGGTAATTATCAGTCCAAGTTTTAGTATAGCTTCCAAATAAAACTACATTCAAAATTTCGGCATTTTGGGGATTTTGGTCAGTGCTTTTATCGAAATCAGCTGTAGTATTTTGGATTCTTATTAGATAGAAAACGTCCCAACATTGACCTTATATTCGCTGTATTTTGGGCACGTTTTTTTGCTCTACACCATAGAGTGGAGTTTGTTTTTCCGTTTGTAACTCATCGAAATAATCAGTTCCGAACCTATAAAGTTATATATTCTTGATCAGCGTAAAATTCTATGGCGATTCAGGTATGTCCGTCTGTATGTCTGTTGGAATTACTCCAGCCTCTAACCCAATTGAAATAGATCGTCAAAATTTAGCATAGAGAATATCGGTACACTCCTTCTGGTACCAGCCCCACAAAATGGTGAAAATTATGCTAAAAATTAATTTTATAATAACATGCAAACGGACTATCCGATTTTAACGAAACTTTGTACAACTTATTATATTTCTTTTCTTATTTTCAACATTTTCAATATGTATAAATCCAATATCAGGATAGTTGAATGTCCGATATGAACCAAGCTTTCCACAAGCTGTTATCTTTACCAAGTCTAGATCAAGTCCAAAGGTAGCACCCATTGGCCTACTCCTTCTGGTATCTCCCACACAAATGGTCAGCATCCTCCGCAAACCATAAGGTGAGGGTATATATCTGTCGGCAACACCGTGTATTTTAACAATTTGGCTATTATGTGAGATTTTTGGTTCTCATTAGGTAACAAATCCTACCAAATTCCTACCAAAAATTATAAATATTAGGATTGGGCCAATGTAATGGAAGTTCCCAAATTTCTGCATTTTGGCAAGTTTGGGCACCTTTTCCAAACAAATTAGCTGTAATTTACTGATTTAGTCACTCATTGGTTAGCACAAATAAAAATATATTGATTTTGGCTCAAGTTTCAGGGTGGTACTATCCAGTTTTCGGTATTTTGGAAACGCTTGGATGTCAAATCTGCCTACTAAAAATCTTTAATATTGGTCTATTTTTAGGGTTGTCCCAACATAACGATGCCTCTCACGTTTCGATGTTTTGGCAAGTTTGGGAGGTTTCTCAACCAGATTCCAAATATTTCTACCAAAATTATTTATTTTAGCTCAAGTTTCAGGATAGCCCAATATAACGGCAAACCTTATTATTCGTTGTATTAAGGTTTTTTGGGAACCCGATTTAAACGAATTGGCTGAAACTCAAAGTTGCTGCAATTATGGGTGTTTAGCTCAGAAGGGCTCCGCCGAAGGGAGTCAGTACGCCGAATGCGTGGAGCAGTGGACCGTAAGGGAGGGTGTATAAATAGCGCAGTGTGCCGTGAAAGTAGAACGAAAAGAATAAAAACACAAATGTTTTTGTAATATGGGTTTTCAAAACTTCCTATCCAGTACCCTAAATTTCGTTTTCTGAGGATTTTACACAAGTTTTTCAACCGATGAGTTTGGGTTCATATTGGATTAGAAATCTTCCCACAAAATAAAATGATAAGTACCGGTTAATCTGTGGATATAGTCCCAATTTAAAGATATTTTTTCTCGCCGAAGTGCCTATATTTTAGCAATTACGGAATGACTGCAACGCCTTCTTCATCTTCACAGAATTTAAATTCATAACATGTAACCTTTATATGAGAACTAAATTAGTGTCATGCAGCATTTTCGGTAACAGAGGGCCTACCCAATTTTTGTCTATTATATACCCTACACAACAATATTGTGAAGTTTTGTGTGGCCCCAAAAGTTGGTTATGGTCTGATCGATTAATCAATGTACCTATGTGTCCCCATCCGTTTGTCTGTCTGTCCATTATAATTTGTAATCAAAGATCACGGTTTGGGACCAATTGTCATGAAATTTTGTAAATAGATCCGATTATGAAACAATACAACATCTTTTGGTAAAGATCCTCGTTCTAGAGTTCAAAATAATTGCTCAAACGACATCAAACGAAAGGTCAAGTGTACCCAAACTCTTATGTGAAACTTAAAAATCTGAAGTTCACAGTATGTACCAAAGGAGTGGTTGCCCTTTGAATTGATACAAAGAATTAATAGGGGTCTATGTATTCCGATATTGTTTAGTATTTTCATTACCTCGCCGAAGAGCGCAAATGTCACGCTGATAGCTATGGAATTTTGCATGAAGTTCCGGTTATGGTCAAGGCCGACATCTACAGTTTACGGTGGTGATCGGATGATATATAGAAAACTTTTTTTATTTATTTTTCTAGTCGCTCCAGAGATCACTATTATGACCCGAAGTGTCAAGAAATTGTACACGAAGACAGGGATCAGGCTAACGAATATGTATGTCTGTTTACATGAGATAGATAATTTTTAGGTTATCTGATGGACCAACGTTTTTGTGTGAACATTTAATATTCCCACTATTTCTGAAAATTTACAGAATTTTTGTTTGGTAGGAAGACATAAATTGGAAAATCGTTCTCTGTATGTCTCGGAATTTAGCTCCGCAAAATTTTCAAGTTCAGTGGTAGCTGTGTAGGGTATCATACGGTTGGCCCCATCCGCCTACATTGATTCGCTTCCTGATTTTAAATAACTATTTTATTTTATTTGTTTTATTAATTTTTTTATTTTCCCTCTTTACAGATCTAGACGAATTAAATTCCGATCTGCCAACACTGCTGGGTGTATGCGTCGGCATTGGAGTACTGGCCGGTCTAATATGCATGGTTCTGCATCTGTTTAGTAAAACCAAATATCCAAGGCATCGGAATTTCGGTGATGCCAATTTACCGCCACCTATAATGTATTCAAGTGAAACAGGTAATGTTTGACGATTTGACCATAACACACCGAGACAAGCATCACACACACCCACACATACATCGGAGAAAAGAGAGAATATTCACCGCTCTCTTCTCAATCGTTGGCTTGTCAAACGACAAGCCTTCTTTACATTTGTAGTTGTAGCTCGTTCGTTCATTAACCCATTGTTGTCGTTTTTTGTTTTGGTTTTCTTTTTTAATTTTCTTTCCAAAACAAAAACATTTGCTCTTTGGTTTCTTTGTGAATCTGATGTCTCTTCACGTTCGCCAGGTATTCACCATCAACGCCATTACACAGTGCAATCCGGTCGTCCATCATCACGTTCGAGTATACGCTCCAGTGGCGGCTCAATCGGTTCCTATGGCAATCGTCGTTCGTCCACGGGTGGTGTTACATCAACAACGGCCGGTTCCAAGGGCATACTGGTATCGACGTCACGCACAGGTGCGGCTAGATCGGCCGCCATATTGCTTATATCGTGTCACTTGTCAACCTTATCGAAACAGAATCTCGCCTCGAGGGCGACCTCGCGCCAGACCTCCGGTGCTGGCTGCAGTGCCAATTCGCGCGACAACCTCGACGAGAACGGATCGGATCCGGGCAGTCGAAGTTGCGATAGTACCTTGTCGATGACACGGCACCTGCAAAAGCAACTGAATCATCAGCGTCAGTTGCTGAGCTTCGAGCTGTCGCCGGCGAAGACAAAAAATCATGATAGAGTTCGAGCCCTGTTGGGCCTCAATGGCATTGAGAATATCAATGATGATGATGAAGAAGAAATGAATAGTTTAGATAATGGCCATTTAGTAATTGGTGCGCTGCCGACACCGGCCAGTGAAACGCCAAGATTTGCGGTAAACGAACTTTTCCACAACAAAAGCAAAACAAACACGAAAACACAGAACCAAAAATCCCAAGAAAAAAACACACACACACAGAAAGAAATACACACCAACAAACAAACCCAAGACACCAACTCTCTCTCAGAGACATTTTACACCAAAAACAAAAATCTACGTTCTCTCTTTCCTTCTCGAAAAGACCCCCAAATAACAACAACAACTACTGCATTTACCCATACATGTACACCTGTAATTTATGGTCATTATTCCAAAAACAACAACACCAACAACAAAATCGGAAAATTGGAAAAGCAAATATTCAAAAATACAACAATTCCCAAACACCTACTCTTTCCAATCCTCTCTTATCCTTACCAATGCAACAACACACATACATTCACACACACACAGACATCCCAACACAACACAATTTACCTCTTTTTTTCTCTCTCTCTCAATCTCTTATCCGTATCCGTATTCTCGTATTTGATTGATGGTAGAGTTGGTTGCAGTTTTTTTAGTGTGTTCTAGACTTGCTGATGTTGTTGTTGTTGTGTTGTGTTGTCGTTGATACCAAGAACGAGACTCTTGATACACCTATGTTGTTGTACTGCCTCCTTTAAATTAAATTAACTTACTTATCTATCTCTACATATAATTTGTATTTTTTTCTGTCTGTCCATTCATACGGTCATCCATTCATTCATCCGTCCGTACTTCGTATTGATTGTATATCGCATTATAAGATTGTACATTTTTGTATCGTGTATGGACAATGTTTGTATGTAAAATACGTACGGAGGATGCATTTTATTACGTTATGAAACACCACAATTAAAATGAAAGAAGCTCTCCATATATTTTGCCAGTTGCAGAATTATAAACTTGTAGATAGGAAATATTCTAAGACCTCCAAAAAGTCTCCTATAGATAAAAGACTTAATAGAAAATGTATGCATACTACGACTTCTAAGAGTCCTTCCCAAGATATGAGGCCTATTATGAGGAATGACATCCTTCCCCAGCAACTATAGGTTAATTGTAACATCGATGTTCGTTGACAAATCGATTTTGAAATTGAAATTCACTAGATCTCAAGGGTCCTCCTTGATAGCAAGTAATTCAACGCTTCTTTCGTTAACCTAAAACTTTATCGGAATCTTTAAAGAGATATTGATATATCACGTAGCGAGTTTTGAACCCGCGGGGGATAAAAACCTAAAATTTCGAGGTCAGTAAGTCCTGCTACTGCCAGATTGAATGTAGTATGACTATTGACAAATTCTTCTCTAAAGAAGAAGTGGTTTCGAGGGATATAAACAAATCCTTTAAGATCAGATCATGTGGCGATAAAAGAAGGGCTGATGTTTAACGATTCCCATGGTCATGGTTCTAACTGTCCTGTGGTAGAGACTACAAAATTAAATTCATTGACAGTGAACATGGTTTGGAATTTAGTGTAATCTCCGAACCCCGAATGAAAATTCCTTTCATAGGTACGTGGCAACGATGTCTATGGCGAAAAAAGCGTTTAAGGCAAAAAAAGCAAAAAAATGTTTAGAGAAAAACGCGTTTAAAGTTTGAGAAGCCCTTCAGCCGTCACTTGATGCTGACACAATAAATCGGCTATATCTTCAAGAGTTCTTGAGATTTTCATTTGAAATTTTGTAGGCACATTCTATAATTAGTGTAGATTCGAATTATATCAACAAAATTTTTGACCCCGAGAATGGGGGGGTCCTCTTAAGTTCCACTAAAAAGCTGGTTTTGGTAGTTGGTTGCAACTAAATAGTCAATCTAAAAAAATACTACAGTAATTAACTTCAATGGCAGTCGTCGGACAAACTCTACGAAGATAATCTGACGACGGCCTTGGGTGTAGAAAGAGGTTCACATGATAAACCATATGGAAGATTAAAATACAGCTGCAATGAATACTGTTAAAAATGCTTTGAACATTTGTCAGCTCTTCTTGCCAGTCGTCAGCATGTCCAAAATACTTTGAACAGTATTTTGTATTACAGAAGATTTGATCGTTGGAGTGTTGCAAGATAAGAGTCTAAAATCCCACATGCAACGCTGATAAGACAGTGGTTGTATGTGTTGAGATTCTATGACGCACACGATGGAAAAACTCTCCACAGATCAAATTCTATTATTAGAACAAATAGTTTACTGATAAGTATTTTGTATTTGAGATTAGGCTAAACAAGAGTTGTTTAAGTAGTACCTAAGAAAAAATATTTTACAATAAAGTTAGTGACTTACAACCACTCAAATAGAACGGTCGGGAGCACCATGTCTCAATAATTTTTTGTACGGAGGAGGCACTCGTCAAGAGCGGTCGGGAGAACAGTGTCGTGTCTTAATTTAATATACAGATGAGCTGATCTATATTAAATATCTTCTACAACAATGTCTTTCACCCTCCAATAACCCGCAATACCATATTACTATGTCGAAACATGGGCCTACGTCATAAAATTTTTCGTGCAAATAACAAATTACCTTCAAAATGTCGATAGTGGTCGCGGCTTTTATATGGGGGTTTGATATATGTACCAATATAGCTTCATTTTTTGTAAAATTATTTGAAATACCGACAGTGTGACCGTTATATAGGAGCTATACCAATACATATTGGGCCAATTCTAATATACAGAAAAATAGAGGGTGCCGTTATATGGGGACTATGACAAAATGTGCACCTGTATATCAATAATTTTTGGTACGGAGATTTTCTATCCAATGAGAATTCAAAACTTCTAAAAAAAGTTATAAAAATCAAAATATTGAAATTTAGGGTGATAAATCTGTATGGGGGCTACCCGAAAATGTGGACCATAATTCATAATTTTTAGAACCCAACGTACCAATTTACACTTACTTCGAATGAAAAACGCGCTCAAAAAAATCACAAATACCGAAAATACTGACAATTTGCGGGTTACCGTTATGTGGAGACTATGGCTAAACGTTAGCCAATGTACTGGACTGCAGACAAAAGACAACTTTATACAAAATTTCAGTACCATATCTCAATTGCTTCGAAATATAGCGTGATTACAACAGAGAACTTAAACGGATAGATCATCTTAGAATTTTACCTTGATCGAAATTGTTCCAGCTGAATATGGCTAGGATTTGAACCCAGGTTCCCAGAGCAACACAAATGTTGCCAGACCACTTAGCGTTCTAAACCATTAAGGCTCTTCCTAAGATTGCACAAAAAGCATGTGTATACCATGGGAGCAATTGGAGGTGTGTGAACTAATTGAGTCATTCTCCCCATTTTGAGATAAACGATCAATGTCGATTGAGTCGTTTATACTAAGATATTTAAAGATATTGATATTATTTGTTTCAAAACTAGTATTATGTGGTATTAATTTTGTTTGTGGTTTTGTGCCATTAAACATAATGAAATACATAACGTAATATGTTATGTATTTTTTTCTAGAAAACTAAGATTCGTATCTGAACCTAAAATGGACCACTTTCAAAATAATCTACTCAATTGCCCGGCTCTACATTAAAAAGGATTGTTTCTAGAGTGAAGGCAAATGTAGGATCTAGATAAATTTGAATTTAATTCCAAATGTGAACTTTATAAAGCCACGTAACCTAATATTTGTGATGCGCCGCTTTACCAACACGTCATATAATGCTGGGTACGTAGGTTCTTCCACTAGCTTTCCTATTCGTTGCAAACACTTCTATCATGAAATTCGACTCGAAAGAGAAAAACTCACTTAATCATTCATATGATTACCGCACTTAACAACAAAAAGGTCGACAATATATAATAAACACTATAGGGTCTGAATTAAGTATGTCGATAAGGTACAAAGAAAAATTAATATAGGCTCCATAGGGGAAAGTTTAAAATTCCTTTATTTATATCAGGGCCATGGAGGGAATATCGACATTGAAACAACATTTTATAAGATGAACATTTTCTTATTATTTTTCAAAGTATTTTTCAGTGTGTTTTATATCGTTTTTCTTGCGCTCAAATCCATTCTCGAAGCTATTCTTCCACTCGATTAAGGCACCTCCAAAGAATCATTTTTCCAATTCCTCGTTCGGCCGACAAAAAAGGCGGTGGTTCTTCTTCTTTTGTTTATTTTATTTTTAATATTTCTATGAAGACTTCAGGCAACCCAATTGTGGTGTACTACTAATAATTAATCTCCTATATGAACAGTAGTTTTACCGAAGAAAGATGCAAACATTTTATGGATCCACTTTTGTTGGATTTGCCAAGTCTTCGAAGGCCCACACGGTCGAATGCAGTTTTGTACGGTATCCAACAAGATCGTGCAACACTGGTAATAGAAATGCCTAAGAATGACGCTATTAATTTGCCAGTTCATGTACGATCGATGGTAATCGCCAATTGATTTTTCAAGTCCCTGAAGATAAACTCCAACATATGGCTTAACATCATACATCTCAAATCAATGAAACTGAACTTTGTTGATATTGTCGGCGTAACGCCGGTAAAAATAAAACCAATAGCATAGTCCACGTTACCCGAAGTTCCTCTATAATTACATGATATGTTGACAAAGAAAACTCTAACGGAAATACAAAATCTGT